AATTAAAAATTTTAGTTGTATAGATTCTTTATGCTTTGGTCATTTTCTTAAATGCTTATGTGTATTCTCTTTTTGGTTGAATAAACAGCAACTATATGGGTCACTGATTTTATTTATGTAGCTACTAATATGGCCCTCCTCCCTGCAACATGCAAACAAAAAAAAAAAAAAAGACGTCAACCAAGTGCTCCCTCCTTTCACAGGATCATAGAAATTAAGGGCTGGAAGGGACCTTGATAGATCCAGTCCAACCCCCCTGGCTCTGGGCAGGAACACTGCTGAGATCAAATGATCCCAGCAAAGTGTCTGTCCAGTCTCCTCTTGAAGACTTCCAAGGTTGGGCACTGCACCACCTCCTTGGAAAGTCTATTCCAGATTCTGGTTACCCTTTCCATCCAACCTAAAACCATCCTCTAACAGCTTATGGCCATTGCTCCTTGTCCTCCCCTGGGGAGCCCTAGTGAACAGTTTTTCTCCCAGCTCCCGATATTCACCCATTACATACTTATCGATGGCCACCAAGTCTCCCCTCAGTCTTCTCTTCCCCAGGCTGAAGTCCCAGATCCCTTAGCTGTTCCTTATAAAGTTTGTCCTCCAGGCCCTTAATCATTCTTGTGGCCCTCCTCTAGACTCATTCAAGATTCTCCACGTCTTTTTTGAAGTGCAGCACCCAGAACTGGATACTTCCTCTCTACTCGGCGCTGATGAGACCTCAGCTGGCGTACTGTGTCCAGTATGGTAGTTCATATACTAAACACAGACTTCTGTGAACACGACCAAGTCACTGTACCACTGTTTCCTTCCTTCTCTGTACACAATAATGGCTTAGTTTGCAGATATATTTGAGAGCTGTCCTCAGGACATTGCAGTTTTAAGTACTGCATGCAAATCCATTTTTGGATGTAAAGCCCATAATGGTATTCATGCCTTGCAGGATGGAATTCTATATTCCAAATCAGAAGAACGTAAGAACTGCCATACTGGGTCAGACCAATGGTCCATCTAGATCTTGCCCATTATCCTGTTTGATAGTGGCAAAAGTGGAAGCTATGCAGGGAGAGCATCAGGCCAGGTATCTCTAAAGAGTGATCTAACTCCTATTCAATACACTCCCTGGCATCTACCATTTATTAGAGTCTAGCATTTGTGAAAATTCTCATTCACAATCAAAGGGCTTCCTCTACTGAAACAGTTTTTCATTTCTAGTAGAACATAACTAGGGATCTCCTGAATTCACAGCAGAAGTGGACAGCACAGCAGCTCCTTTAATTTTTCAGGTTCCACCACATGCCTCAGCTGATTGGCTGACGGGCCCTGATGGTCCTGCTGTTTGTTGCTGCCTGGCTGGGAGGCAAAAATGGTGCCCTATTTTAAACTGCATTTAGTCTCCCTGCCAATCAGGACCAAGTGGCAGGGCCTTTCCACCAACTGGTGGGTGAGTGGGGTGGCATGCTGGGGAACTTTCAAGATTCAAGGAGCTGCTGAGCAGCCCACTTCTGCCGTGAATTAGGTAGGTCCCTAAACATACCAGTAGATGGAAGCCGTAACTGAGAAGGGAAAGGTGACCATTAGGAAGTCTTGACCCCTGGATGGTTTTGGACATCAGGAAAATTAATCTGAATTGGATCCTAGTTGATAAGAGAGCAGTGTAAACAGTGGTACAGTGACTTGGTTGTGTTCACAGAAGCCTATGTTCAAGCTACTGTAACTTTGTACATGTAAGGCATTTCTCAAGCACCATCAATCATCTTTGTTAACAGGTTAAGTGACATTAGGTTAAGTAGACCCAGTTCCATTTAGCACAGCGGTGCTCAGTCTTCTGGTCCCACAGCTGAGATGAGCGGCATATGGCTGTTCTGTGGGTGAGATCTGGCCGTGTGCCACCACAGCCCCAGATGCAGCTGGAGAGCAACCCTGTGCACTGGCCTAATTTAGCATGTAGGGCCACATCATCTGGAAATCTGACAGCAGGCAATTAAAGCTGCCTCCACTCCCCCACTGCCAAATTTCCAGACCCAAAGGATCAGATGATATGGCTCTGTGGGTCGGATGTGGCTTGAAGGCTGACGGTTAAGCACTGCTGATTTACCACATATATATATAAACAAATAAATAACACCCCCCCCAGCCCTCCAGACAGATTACTTACTCTTGGGGATCTTAGTTCTATTTCTTCCTTTTCACTTTCACTGCTGGAATCGTTTTCCTCAACTTCTTTTTTTATTTCTATTGGGGGCATCTCTTGTTCCTCTTTTACACTTTCCTCCATTGGTTCCTCTTGTTTCGGTATGTCTACCACTTTTGGTTCATTGTGATGGATAGTCCTAAACTGAATGTTTGCAGAGCGGCAGTACTCTTCAAAACCATAAAGATACCTAGATATACACAAACAGTTCCTTCATTTTTTCAGCATTGTTTATTTAATTTTCTTTCATTTCGCCACAAAAAGCTTCATTGTTTTCATGCTTGCAAAATACAAGGAAAGAGTACTAACTCCAGGAAAACGTACAAAAAAAGAAACTGTTAAAGAAATTTGAAATCAAATAATTAAATACTGACAGAGGCAAAATAAGCACTTTGCATGTGTGTACATGTGCAAGCAGGTATGCACATGCACACATGCGTGCACACACACTTAACTAGTTATATATTTTTTTTTTTACCTATTTACTAGTATGACACCATAAAGCCATCAACAAGTGGTGCTGGCCCCTACCCTGGGGGTCTTTAAGAAGAGGCTGGATGCCCACCTAGCTGGACTCGTTTGAGTCCCATTTCTCTTTTTGGGGTTTTTGTTGTTCTCCCGCCCTGGCGGGGGGTCGGGCTAGAAGATCTACTAGGTCCCTTCCGACCCTTAATCTATGAATCTATGAATCTATGAAACTACAGATTTATAAGGCTTGAATTCTGTAATTCAGAAGTGTATATATTTTTATGTATATTTAAATACATATTTTTGGACTTGATGTCTGAAATGTATCTATGGGTTCCAGCACTAGACAGAAAGTTAACAAATCTGAAATAAATACAGGCAAAGTTCTGTCCATATCACACAGCTATTGTAGACATCAATGAGAGGTGATTGGGCATTCAACTGAGGTCAAATGCTGCTCGTGTAAATAAGCATATGTTGCAAACTGACTGAATGCTAACCTTGTATTTTCAATTTCATTGTCATATCCCAAATGGCTATATCAGATGCCAACAATATAGATTTCCTGCTATAAAATGAGTATAGTTCTAACATACTGCAACTGCAAGATCCTACAATGAGAGCACTCTTTCCCTCCTGTTGTAGATAATGAAAGTGGAGAATGCTCAGCACCACTTTCTAAACTACAGAATTCAAGCCTTAATCTATAACATTTGCAATGAGGCAAAAATGAACAAGGCACTTTAACAAAGGTATGTAGACAACTTAGTTCTCTATTACTATTTACTTTTCCGCTGAATTAACAAAAAGGGTTTGAAGGTTTGTGAGATTTTGTAAGATTTTCACTATTTTTCAATCACATAAGGGAGAACTTACTTTCTATAAGCAGTTTTTACATTGTAGGAAGCAGCTGAGTTCAAAATGGGAATGCCAAGGTCCATATAAATTTGCTTCCATACAGCACCACTGTCAATCTAGAAAAGTAAATTTTCTTTGTTAACTAAAATAATTAAGAAATAAATGTACTGAGACTGTAACAACAGTTTTTAAGAATCTTAATGTATGTTTAGCTTAAACAAAAAAGTTGGCACTTACATTGTCACATCCGCCCTGCTGATACACCAGCCTAAAAAGTTTGAAGAGGTTAAGATCTTTGTAGCCTAGAACAGGTGGTTTGTTGATAGGAGTACCTAATTAACATAAAAATAAATAAATAGTTATCATGCAAATAAGCAAACTTATCTTCCACCCCACAACATACAATTACTTGTTGGCACACGTTTACAGTGTAAGGTCTGTAATGATGTGTCTACCTATCATATGTGTCCAAAGTCAGAAATTCCCAACCAGCAAACCTGCCTTGTTTTGTATCAATGTATAGTTCTAAGTGGATCACTAATGTGTTTGCTACCATCGGCCTCCTAACTCCTGACTCTCCTGTAGATGTGGGAGAAATCCCTATCTGGTTGGTTGCCCTTTCCCAAGAGGCCGTGTGGGGGGAAGGGAGAAAAGGGAAGCCAATCAGAGATCATACAGGTATTAAGGCAAAACCTAGTAAATGGCAGAGAGTAGTAGCAGGTGTAAAGAATGCTTTGGGGTGGGAACCAGCAAACTGTGGGTTAGAAAATGAAGTGGGGACCAAGGGCCAGAATGTGAAATGGTAGCAGAAGGTGGAGGAAAAGGAAAATAAGGGTGAAGGGTGTAGGTGGAGGAAGGAGGAGTACAAAGACAGAGTAGGAAAAGGGGAAGGAGCACAAATTAGCTGTGAAGGGGGAGCCCACAGTCACGGCAGAAAAGGAGCTGCCCTTCCCCTACTTTTGCCCTCCCTCCATGCAATTTGATATGAATCATGCAAGTTAGAAGGTATTGGGTTTTGCTTTGGGAATACTGGCAGGCATGCCCTGTTCAAAACCTCCTCCTTGAGGGAAGACCATGTGGAGCAATCAAGTGGGAAGGGCACTGCTGCAGCGGAGAAAAAGAAAAAGAAAAGGAAATAAAAGACCCAGCCTTGAAAGTAACTGGCTATGTTTAATCAAAATATATATATATATATATATATTTTTTTTTTTTTACAGAATACCAGTTTGCCTCTGGACTGGGTCTTCACTTTTACTGTGCTATAAACTCTTTTTTTCTCCCCAGTTCCCATAGCCACTTGCATGGTTTCTCCCTACTTCCTGGACTAAAAGTGCCTCAAGCAGGGAGTGAGGGAAGAAGGAAAGAAGGGAAGTAACAGGAGAGAAAAACAACTGCAATAAAACTAGGATTGCTCAAAAAAGATACAGTTTCTTTCCTTGGCTTGTCCCCTTGTTCCATTCATGTCTTCCCCAACATATGCATTTTACAGGAATGCTTTACAAGGTATGGTCTTTAAAGTGATACTAGATGAGCTCCACTGTAAGTTTACTATAAAAAAAAGTACATAACCCATTGATATACTTGTGACTGGCAAATGGCAAGACCGAAAAAGTTGGGTACTATTTATTCTACAAATCAGAATATGCCTAGTTAAAAGGGAAGCCTAGTTTAGTTTAAAGGGTGAACTGCTATTTTAGTTTAGTTTCTTATTGTTCTTTTCTTCCTTCTCTCGTTAAGGAGGTTATGTACTAAATACCTTATTATCAAAGGCAAAAGAAATTAGTCAGCACTAAATTGACTATGCTCCTCCCAAATCAAGTCCCTTTAATTCTGACTATCTCCATGCTTACTCTGCTACACCATGCTGTAATATAACAGTTGCCATGGCATCATTCGCAGCCAGATACGTAATTTGAGTGGGAAGTCTAGAAAGCAACATTTTAAATGCATGCAATCTAGTTAATATATCTAAAATACTCCGAGTAATTTTTGACCGAAAAAAAAATCTAAAAAGAATCCACCACACCTGTGACATTTTTCCATCTTGCAAACACAGGAGTGAAGCTTTCTATATTCAAAGCTAAGATATAGCCATAAGACAATAAAATATGGGATTGACACAATATTCAAGAAAAGTTAATTTGTTTTCTTGTTTAAGGCTACTTAAAAAAACCCCACAAGGTGTTGAGAAAAAAACCCCTCTGCCTTCACACTCTGGAGCGCTCATGCTGCATATGCCACTGAAATCTGAAGTAAGGAGGATGCAATTGGAAGGATGGCAAAGTATCATATTCTGCTAACAGTAATTATCTGCAGCATATGCACTTCCAATATTTTTTCAGCATAGTACCTAGGCATCGTGATCAAAATAGCCTGATCTAACTCAGTCTAGAAAAAGTTTTTAAAAAAGTGTTCTTTCCATTCCAACTCTTGGGCTAACCAGGATCATGCAAGTTGTCCTCAAGAGGAATGCTACTATTGCCCTATTATTGGAGGAGGGTCTGTGAGAGAAGAAGATAGTTTTGCACAGACACTTTAAAAAATGGCTCATTTCCTGACTTCTGGTGCCTGCAAGTTCTACAACCTACTAAATGTTTCCAATGTTCATCCCAAGGATCAGCAGCTGCAGTTACCAACACTAGTTGCCACAGGAAGGTACCAACTGATACTAGGAGACAGTTTAAGTCCAGCCCATAAGAGGCTGAAAAAAACTATTTGCTTAGACTGGATTTTTGTTAACTACACATGCACATAAATGTATCTGAAGCAGATGTTGCAGTTAAAATTCAGTAGAAGATTTCCATCTGCACCCTATTTGTTATTATTATGCATTTATTTCAGTGACACAAGGATGCTGCATTTAAAAGCAATTTTTAAACAGTTTCAGTAGGCAAGAGGCAGTAAATTTTAAGTAATGTGTTACCTCTGTCTTCCATAAACTTGTAAAGCTGTTGGAGGAAGTTGTCCCTCTCTTCAGGATCAAGCTCTTCCTCAGGCTGTCAAAACAAAGGGAAGGGTACATTCTGAATATTAAACATGCACGGAAAGTTTTATTGGCAAACTCAGATCTCAAACTATTCATTTGAACAAAAGAGCCAGAAAACACCTGGAAGAAAAAGTGAAGCCACGTTAATTGGCAAATATAAATAAGACAGGAGGGCAACTAAGTCCTAAGCACTACAGCCCCACACACTGGGGCTAGAGACATAAATTAGATATGAAGTAGTATAATCAGTATGATCAGAAACTGGTTCAAATCTGTAACACAACAGAAGTTCAGTGCACATAAACTGCTTTCAAACTGGATGAAAACCAGTTTAAGATAAACCTGGATGGATGTAGTATCAGACTTAACTGATTTAGGTTCAATCCATTTATTGAATTTCTGTCCCAGATCCCCTCCAGATTCATGTCAACTCATAGTCCCTCAGCATCCCACGATGCTTTGAACCTCCCTTTGCAGGGTGGGTGGGCTAGCCATGGCCCAAGCTGCCTGCTCCAGCTGAGCAGGGAGGTGTGATCTAGTGCCCCCACGGCTTCTGGCCTGGGCCACTACAGGCATGTGGCTGCATTTCCAGAATCAAAATGTCCAGAATGTCTGTTCACTGCTTATTGGTTCAATCTATACAGTTGAAACTAACATGTGAAGATTGAATCATTTCAGCCTTGGGCCTTTTGACTGTACTTAGCCTGGGAGATTCAACAGGGGAAACAAAAGTACAGAGCACTGAAATCCTCAATTCGTGAAGGAAGGAAACTGAAGAAGAAACAGGACACAGCCTGTACCACTATACTGCATACGCTGATGCAATACCACACAGTAAAATCTTGCTGCAAATGTGACTCTTTACAAAACAGTAGTAGCTCACCTGAATTACAGCCTTCCTTGCTAGCGCTAGGAACTATCTGAAAACTATCTGAAAAGAACTGCAGATAAGGCTCCAAAATTATTTTTAATATAACAGCCCCTTTTTTCAGATGCCCATTAATTCCTAGAGGGGAAAAATCCCTTGGGGATTAAATGTTTTATGCTGGGTCTCAGCTCAAAGCATTCATGTCTGAAAACATTGGAAGAGTCCCTTGCAGAGTTCAAAATCACTGAATGCTTATTTTTTACCATGTTTAGTTTTGCTACAGCCATTACTCTTACACCACCACAGATAAACAGGTACACGCTAGATAGTCTACAACATGGGGCTTTTTGCTATAGAGGGAAATGACATAAATAAAGTTGAGTTCTCACTTCTAAGAATATTCAGGGGAATTATGAAATTTTAGCAGAGCTCAATGAAGACTTGCTCTTGCAACACTGTATGTACCCCATCTTCCCTGCTGGCTTGGAAAGGACAGCAATTGCTGATGAAGCAATTTGTACAAGCAACACTGCAGGTCTCTTGGAGAAAAGCTTATAGGAAAAATGAAAAGATAAAGCCTCACCATTATACTAGGAACACTAAACAAAAATTCTTTCAGTTTAGAAAGGAAGGAGACACAGAAAGAGAGAGCGTGCGAAAGAGAAAGCGCACACGAGTGCGTATCCATTGATCTCAGTTCCAGTTTGCTCTGCATTCTGCAAATTCTAAGCTTTCATTTTCAGAAAATAACATTCCTAATCTTTTTGTTGTGAAAGCATAGCCAGTGAAATGTAACCTGATGCACTGCTGCTTTGGTAAGAGAAAACTAGTCTTCTGCCAAGCATCAGTAGCAATTCACCCATTTCCTACCATACTTGTCTCAATGGAGTTGTAAGCTTCAAAACCCAATAAGGGCCATTTAAATACTAACATTATTAGGAAGAGGCAATTTGTTTCTTCTCCTTCAATTTTTCTTTGAAAAGAAACAAGGAAATCCAGTTCAAAAGCACAACCTAGTACAACGTACAGGGCGAGGGAAATGGCCACCTTACCAGTCTGCAGTATATTTATAGAAACAGAGAAAACTACAAAATTAAAAAAGCAGAAACTATAATGCTGCATACTTATTGTTGCTATAGGAACCTTAGCTGTGCTATTGCTTCTTCTTTAAAAATGTCTAACTGTGTAGCTTTAATTCTGCAATTAAAAGATTTCTAGCATTTGCTATAAAATACCTTGATATCTATGAATAAAAATCATAGAACCATAGACAAGTCAGGCTGGAAGCAACCTCCACAGGTCACACCGAGTCCAACCCCCTGTCTGAGGCAGGATCATCCCCAGCCAAACCATCCTATACAACCCATAAGCTAAACTCTACATCGGACTACCATCATCCCTGACATAACACACATCTAACACCCTACGTTGTCACAAGTAAAGCAGGTCCTCCTTCTATGAAACATCAATCTATGCTCAAGAGATCCTAGGTAGAGGGCTGTGCCCCTGCTACAGAGGAAGGTAAAAACCCCAATCTGACCATGCTACATACTGGCTAGCTATTCTATCAACATATCACTTTTGAATTCAGAAATGCTTCCACATTTCAGTTTGAACCATCTAATCTTGAGGACGTACTGCCAATACTAAAACTAAACTATAAATCAGAAATAGTACTTCTGTAAACAGGTAAGCCCGGGAATTATCCACATTACAGTATTTTCAGTTTAAATAAAGGAAAGGGCAAAGGTAAAAGGCAAAGGTCTATTTACTTGGGGAAGAAGAGCAGAAAGACTTAAAGACTAACCCTGGGGAGCTTGAAGTAGTGAAGGAAAAGCTAGGATGACTGATGTACACAATGGGGCAGAGATGACCTGAACCAGCCCATTCATATAACTGCAGACCAGGTGAAAAAAAAAGACAGATTCTTCCTGGAAAGTTTTCTGCCTCCAACCTGTGCATTTGCTACTGTTGCCTGCTGTGTATCTATGGTGCAAGGGGGTCCTAGTGGCCTGCCTGCTACTCTGATCCCCCACAGTGCTCCATTTCAATTACCACATGCCCTTTAGGTTGCTTGGCTCAACATCCTCTAACCAGAAGTCCTTGCACCTGGTGATGAGGAGGGATGAGTGGTTATTTCTGCAATATTAGCATCTAAAAGTCTCTACCAAAATGGCAGCCTTACTATGTTAGACATTACAGAGGGGTAGTACCTTTGCTCTGAAGAAGAACATCTAACTGAACAAGGCAGATCAAGCAAGTTTTGTATGTTAGTCCCATTTTACAGATGGGTAACAGACATAGGTAATGGGACCTATGGGTCACACAGGGAGGCTGCGGCAGAGCCAGTAACAGAACCCAGACCCCAAGTCTATTCCAGCACCTTAACTAGAAAGCTATGCTTCTTTTCTAGAATTAACTGCTACATACACCTCTTTTTTTTCTGAATGATATGGAGAAGCACAGCAGGTCCCTTGCTCTCACACACCCACATCTATTTGCTTTGCTGCAGCTTCCAGGAGGAGGATAAAAAGAAGTACAATGAGCCTAAATTACCACTGTGTCATATTAAAAAGGCTGCCACTGCCACCTCCCACCATTACGGAGAAGCAATTCTGTTAGTAGGCAGTCTGAACACTATACTTCCCAGCATGCCACCTCCTGTTAGTAGGCAGGAAGATCTCTGCAATTTCAAGCACCCGTCCGTCCTTTTCTCAGATCCAGGCATTTTCTTTGGAAGGCTTCAGGTTCCTTAAATAAAAACTGTGCAAATAAATTTACAGTACATCTCTCATTTATATTCTGTACCCACAGAGATGCTTCAAAGGGTAAGCAAGGCCAAAGATTTAGCCCAAATGGGAAAACAAACAGTTATATTTTTAAACAGCAAAACCACTCCTCACTCATACATATAATTAAATGTAACACCAGGAGCTTTTACAATAATTAATATTATACGTGGAGAACAGCTTTAATTTACAATATTAATATGCAGCTTTTCCTACTTGGTACTGATTGTTCTCATCCACCTTGATAGTTAATATTGGAGATATTAAAAACACAATACTTATGTTATCTCAATATAAGCGACACACCCCTTCCCAAATAAAAATGTCTTACTCTGAGCACATAACATATTCCTTGTACTGCTGACTACTTTGCAAGATTAGTGCATATGTGTTTTATTTTAAACAGCAGTGTAGAAACTTGCCAAACAAGTTATCTTTATGGGTTTGATCCACTGCAGTTAAGGTGTACTGGCTCAAGCTTCATATTCAGCCAGTGATTGTCTGAGTCTTGAGCTTTACCAAGATTTCAAATAAGAAAAAGAAATACAGCTCTGTTATGTTTCCCATCACCTACTCTTTGGAAAGTAATTAGAGCACCTGATGATCCTAATCTGTGCAACTGATGGACTGGAGGGTTGGAGGAGGAAAACTGCAGCAAGCCACAAACTTGAACAGAAACCAAAAATCTTGGAGAAGTTATATATGCTGCAGGTGGTTTTTAGCCACTTAGCAATACATGCATTTAGCACATTCACTTAAGTATACATATGAGACTGCCACAGATCCTTTTGGGGTGCCACTTCATATTAGTGCTATTAAATGTGAAAACACCTACACAATTCACAAGATAAACCCATAGATTTCAAATAGCCATCCCTTCAGAAAACATCTGTTGTGGTCTTTGGAACAGAAAAATTGCTTGTATTTTTCTGTAGTCAAAAAATGAGTGAAAGCTAAGAGGGGCAGTTTCCAAGGGGTGCCTCGAGTCTAACAAGGTTGCCAACCACTGACTTTAGTAAACTGATTCCTGCTGAATACATTGCTCCATAACTGTTAAAACTGTGATGACACTCTTGTATGCAGTTTTTACAGTCAGAGTTTACAAACTATCTGAAAAGAATCGTATCTTGTTATACCAGATCCAATTTCAGATTAACAATTTATCTGGCTTCTCAAGGTCATGTATCCCACAAAGGAGAGGGATTTTAAAGCAGCACTGAAAGAAAGATTTCTAATCATACGTAAGAATCCAAAATCTCTACTTAAAAAATGTAAAACTCAGTTGTCCCCTGACATTTTTTCCTCATACGAATTTAGCACTGTAGAAAGGTACGCGACAATTTTATAAATGCT